GTTATAAAAGCATAATTTAAGCTGTTATCTGAATTAAATGATTATGTATGTAAATGTCGATACTAATATATTGAAATTCAACAGTATATTAATAAAGTATTGGTAAAAGATGCTTTACAGACAGTAGAAATGCATTTCTAAAAAATATTTTCCTTGGTTAAATGAAATGATCTTTAGGGATTAATATGAGAATCTATTCAGAATTAGATTTTTTTTTTATATATATAATCAAAGCCCCAGAGCACACCCACACAGAGAGAAATTTGCTCATACAAGAATATAATGCTAATAATGGCCAATCAGATTCAAGTTTTGACAGACTGAAATAATCTGGAAGGGCTGCAAGTGTTGGTCCACTGTGTTCTCTGAAGTCCTTCCAGCACGGCCATCCACCAGCAAACATTAAGTACTTCATTCTTCCCTCTACTGATCAGGTTTTTTTAGAGGGGCAGATTTAACTTTACAGCAGAACTTGCCACCTACCCACATTTACATAGGTACCGAAAGCTTCTATAATTACTTCTAGATGATTCTGGCCAATGCAGATGACCTAAAGGCTGCAAAGAGACCTTTTCTTCCATTACATCTTAGTAAAGTTGCAGACTGAAAGCTTCTTTGCCCTGCAGCATGGCTGCAGAAACTCATGCAAATGAAGGCTCAAGAAAGCACTAAAGGCATATAAAGGAAAATACCTTTCAAAATCTTTACATATTTTTAAAAATTCCTTGTTGCCATGCAATTTTTTTTGTTTTTTTCTTTTTTTGTAATGACCTTCAAAAGGCTCAGACTCTAAAAAAGAGTCTTATTGTTGTACCTTTAGTTAGCGCTGTTTCCTTTGTGATGCAGGGATTCACTGGAGTCTCAGTCCCTGCTGTCAGTGTTCAGTAATGCTTAATGCAAAGATAGTCATCTTTTTTGTTTTTGCTCAACAAAAAATTCAATACATTACTGAGTTCCCTCTGATATAAATTTTTTAATCGTTTAAATCGATCAACGGCCCATCTAAATAAAACAAATATTTTAAAACATTATTTAAAAGCATTTTTAAACTTTACAAAGACCAGAGAGTGCATAAACCCCAATGAAAAAGACAAACTGTTTAGGCTGTAAGCTCAGAAAAAAGCAGCTTTGTTTTAGCTCTCTAAATTTCTACGGTAGTCAAAGTTTGTGAGACAAAAACTTTGAGCCCTGCTCAAGTTCAGAAATTAAAGGGACACATTGAAATGGGTCGCTACAAAGTAATACGCTCAGTGGACTAAATTTAACCTTGTGTTAGTACAACAAATGGCTCTGGAAGTTTGCAGGAACAATAAAAAAAGTCTGAAATATTGGATTCTTCTTCTTCAATGCTTTTTTTAAATGCATTTTTTATTGTCATTAAAGGTTCAATATGGCTGGGGTTTAAGGTTCTACAGAGAACATTTTTGGTAGATAAGATCATCGATTTGTTTTTAAATCATACATTGATAAAAATGTCCACCTATGTGTACAGGATTGGGTTGGATGTTGATTGGATGGATGAAAAAGCAGAATTTTCCCAAATTTACAAAACTTGTTTTATCACTGCTTCAGATTTAGCATTGTTATTTAAAATGATATGAAAAACTGGAGTGGACAGTCTGCCCACATAATCTGCCAAATCAGGACAAAGCTGCTTTCAGCCCCTTAATGAGAATATGACCATAAATTGCATCATCATTTCAATGCAAAGTTCAGACCTTATTTTAGATAGGAGCATGGAACAGAAAATGTCCTTTATTTTCTGAAAACACATTTAATATTGAAATAATTTATTGATAAAGAGAAGTTTCTGTTAGGCTCATCAGTTCCCAAAGGTTTATTTAAATTAACATTATTTTATAAATCTCATGTCTTTGCATTGTATCTTATTTTGTGTGATCACAAGTATTGTATCCCCTCTCTGTACATAATATAATTGGCTGTTTTATGAAAGGAAAAAGTAAAGATAATACAACAAAGGCCAAAGTTACTGTTAACCACTGACATGTTAAGATTTGTTTTCTTCTTCTTTTATGAAGGATCCTAATACCCTTTGGTGATTGGATAATTGTATTTCTTTCTAAACCTGATATATTAGATAAGTAGCTGATGCATTAGCTTTAGTTTCCATCTGTGATATCCTTCAAGGAAGTTATGAGAGGCCAACATATAACCAGCTCTCATAGTGTCTTTGCTTTGATAAAAGTTTAATGGATCATTTTAGAACAATGAGATAAGAAAAGCAGGATTCACGGTGGTGCACTTTGAAGATCTGTTGCATAAGGAGGATCATGGGTTCGAACCTTGGCTTGGGGCTTTCTGCATTGAGTTTGAATGCCCTCCCCATGCATGTGTTGGTTTCCTGCGGCAGAAGTCGTTAGATTACTCAGAGAATCATGAATCAAAACAAATACCACTTTGCACATGATTCTCATAGAGTAGTTTTATAACATGTTTAAAAGCTCAAAAAATGTATTTTGCATCATATAGACCATTGAAGCTACACTGCTCTCTTAGATCTACCTCTGTCACCCAGGGTAACTCTAAAAACAGTAATTAATTCTGTGTCCTTGAACCCCAGTCGGTCTCAGCAGATGGCCGCTCACACTGAGCCTGGTTCTGCTTGAGGTTTCTTTCTGTTAAAAGGTAGTTTTCCTCTCCACTGTCGCTACAAGCATGCTTAGTGTGAGGGATTGCATTTGAGTCAATTGCAATCAAGTCATTGCAATCAACTGGTTTTCCTTAGATAGATAACTTTGAATCAATTAGACTGTATGATCTGGTTGAACTGTAAAGTGCCTTGAGATGACATGTGTTGTGAATTGGCGCTATAGAAATAAACTGAATTGAATTGAATTAATTATCAAGCCGCTGTGGGGAAAAGAAAAAACAAAGGTTTTGGCAAACCTGCTGCTTCAGACCCCTTCAATAGACACCAGTTTGAATAAACTGAAATAACACTGCTTGAACTCCAACAAGCCATCCTGAAGTCTTCCATTCATTTCATTCTGATAGAGCCCCTGGTAAACTGGTTATCTCTCTGGTTTACTTGAAGGACAGAGACTTTATTGTGCCGGTTAATAACTTTACATCAGATACTAGAAGAATCAAATGTGGCATTCCCCAAGGGCCCATCTCAGGGCCCCTTTCATTTAATATCAACATGCTCCCTATAGTTCAGATATTACACTAATTATTCTGGCTCTTAAATCTGTGCCAGGTGATGGATTCAGACCTCAACATTCAGGGGTCAATAAAGACAGTAACAAACTTGACCTTCTATTACCTAAAAACATCTTGAAGATTAATTTCTCAGCAGGATGTTGAAGAGCTAATTTATGTGTCCATCTTTAGTAGAATTGATTACAGTGGCGTCATCACAGGCCTGCCTAAAAAATCAGACATCTGTAGCAGATCCAGAACGCTGCTGCACAACTCCTCACCAAAGCAAAGCAAGGGGAGTACATCACCCCAGTTTTAAAGTTCTTCCATTGACTCTCTTTATCTCAGAGAATAGATTTTAAAATACTTAGTTTGTCTATAAATCTTAAGTCTAAATCTTAATACAGACATATTAGGTCAAAACATGGAGAAGCATTGTTTAGCTCTTTCGCTCCATTATCCTGAATCAAACTCCTAGTGAACGGTAACATGGCTGAAACAAAAAAAAGTTGCTTTAAATTAAGGTTAAAAGCTATTTGTTTAAAGTTACCTTTTGCTCTTCTATTTAAAGAAAGCTCCTTTACTAACACTGCAATGTACTTTTCTTTTTTTCTTAGCTCTTTTTATTCACAGCACGTTGAATAGTCCAACTTGCTATACAAATAAACTTTCTTCCCTGATATTTAAAAGCTAATTGAACCAAATTCTTCTTTTTCATCCTCTAGTTTAGCCTTCTTCTATACAGCCATGTCACACTGAGAAACAAGACTTTTAAAAGACTCTAAAAACATAATTGTTCCCATCTCTGAACACCGTGCTGCTACATAACAGCCAAACTAAAAAGGGAAGGTACTGAGGTCAGGAGAAATTAACTATTGATCTCTTGCTGTACTATTGCATCGTTTCCCTTCTTGTATTTTCTATCTAATCATATCCAGTCACCAAAGAGACAAATACATCTGAACAGGATCTGATTTACTGCTTTGATGCATCAGCTTCTCCCTCTCATGTGGCTTGGAGGGCTGCTGTTCTTGTACCGCTCATAAAAAGGAAGTGTTTAATCTTTATAAATCCCCTTTTGTTTTTTAACAAGCAGCTACACGTTAGAAGAAAATACTGTTATTTGTCTCCCATCAGTAGAATGAAACATGACGGATTTGTGCCTCTTTCTTTTTAATGTTTAACAGAACTTATAAGTCTTATCATTTTATATAAAAAGACCCTTTAGTCTTTTTTTTGTAATTTTAATTGTGATTAATGCCTGGTGTTGTTCAGAAGAATGGGACTGCAATTAGGACCAAGTTGCTTATAAAAGCAGAAAATCTGTTGCTTCTTCCCACTTGTTCATGCAGCATGGGCATCTTCTCTCTCTTTATTTTTACAATTAAGGGTCTTTGAGGCTTAATGCTCTAATTTGATCGACTTACTGGGATAAAGGGATTTTTTTGGCTGTCTATTGTATAGTTATAAGTAGTTTCAGGCTGTAAGATTCTTCTAATTGAAAATCTCTAAACATATGTATTAAAAAAGAACTGTTTACCAAAGACCCTGAACTCAATAAATTACAGTTCACACCTTTGTTAATTTCCAAATGTCATTCAAATGAAAATAGTTGCCATCATACTTGAAGCTGCAGGCAGTGAGAGCATTCATGGTGGGGATGTGCTGATATCCTCTGGTGGGTTAAGAAGGAAGTTCGACTGTTAATTAGGAATTTTGACTGTAATTAAGGTGATAGCATTTAAAGTGTCTAAGTATTTAAAAAAATTTTAAATTAAAAATACTATATCATTGTGTCCGGCAGTGCATTTTTGATTTGTTTTTTTGTTCTGTTACAGGAAGTCCATGAAATTCTTAAAGAATATGAGCTAAAGTACTGCTTCGTGGACCGCAACAAAGGCACAGGTAAGAATAACAGCTGCCTACATACAATCACAAAAAATCATACTGGTTTCCTAATACTTATGTATGAGTCACACTTTTTCTTATTCATATCGTTAGAACTCTTGGGACCTGTATTTGCAACATTAATATTATAAGTATCTCAGGATACCACTGAGCCATTTGCACAATGCATGGCTGTTTATTAGAAATTGATGATAGATGATGTTTGGAAATTGCACACAGATAAACACTAAAGGTAATAAAAAAATATGATTCCCTAATTTTATGACTAAACATCACACTGTTAATTGTGTTTTTGTTGTAAAAATAAGCTAAGTTTTACTGGGCTACATGACTGACTTCTCATCTATAAATCTTGTTTATTTTTGTGGGACGTTCACAAGTGTAAAGCAAGCTAAAAAGAAAAACAAAGAGTTTCTAGTGCTTTGATTTATTTAAAGCTACAGTGTGTAATAATTACAGGGATATACAGTCAGAAATGTAATATATTATACATAACTATGTTATTTATCATCATCTACGAGCTCAGCCTCTTAACCTTAATATTTGCGTTGCCTTAGAATTAGTTATTTATAATTACATAGGAGCGGGTCTCGCAGCCATGGAGGCAGACATCTTTGCGCTACGGCAGCGCAGAGCCAACAAACTAGCGATTGCGAGATCGCCCATTACGCTCGAAAGTAACTACGGCAAGTTGAGAGAGATAAACTGAGACGGTATTGAACAATAGATACTAAATACTACTATAGATACTAATAAATACTATCTGTAAAATTATCTATGTAAACAAACCTCATCACTTGAGAAGGTAGGTGATGCGGACGTCGTGGAAGACATTTTGTCCCGTAACGCTCGCCGTACTGTTGGGGGGGAGAAGCGGTGGGGGGGAGATGTTCATGCTAGAGTCTATAGTCTGGACGTTAGATGTCGCTGAAAATTACACACTGTAGCTTTAATACCCAGAGTTTTTTTGATTTCATCAAAAAAAGTGATGAACCAAATGCCACTTAATCCTATTATTAGTACTTATTTGGCAGTTCAGGAAAACAGAGCTCTGGCAGTTATTAAAGGACTGCTTACATTTTTCCATAACCTTACCTAGAATTATATATATGAAATTCAAACATTATTATTTTCGGTCGTGGTCCTGGCTGTGAGGAAAGCAGCACACTGGTATTTACAGCAACACAAACCTGGTGACCAGAGCAATCCCATTGATGAATCTTTTGCGACGGAGGGTTCTAGAGGCGGATGCGTTCTTCATTATTGACAGAAGCTATGTTTATATGCACAAAATTTCTCCGATCTGATCTAAATCTTGGTTGACCGGATGTTCCAAATCTCTGTTTACGTGGACATTTATTGAAATGATCCGCTCATGACGTTTGTATACATGCGGCAAGTGTTTGATCAGATTAAATCATTTGGGCATGTGCCCAACTGACAGTTCTGCCGATTGTTGGCGGGTCAACCCCGTTTTAAAAAAAAAGGGTTTTTAATGTGAAAGCGGCTTTGTTGAGGCCACATTCCAACCTAAACTATCAGCAAAAATCGGATTCAGTTAGCCCTATTTGAACCAGAGGGGGGCGCTAAACAGATGATTATTCGCACAAAGGGAGGTTTTCCAAAAATGTGCATTAAAGTGTCTAACTAATGCTTGGGATATGTAGACAGTACTATAAGACGTCTAATTATACAGTTTATGATTGTTTGATCTCAAAGTTTTGTAAGATTCCCTATCTGACATTTTTATGACCCAATCTTTCGATTCTTTTACGTTTTGAAACCTAATCTTACAATTTTAAGAATTTAAGACAATAGCTGGCAGAAGAAAGTGTGGGCTACTACATTTTTCCATTTTGTCTTTCACATTGGCCTTTGTATTGTCTGAGGGAGGTAGTTTCAGAGTTGACAAAATCCTTTTTTGTATTCTGAATAAGATAAACATACTGAAATCATTGTTTAGTTTTGTCTGCTCTGAAATATTGCATGATTCTCTAAAAAACAAAAAGTAATCTGATATCCTTTTTTTGTTGTAAACCCTTTTTATGATTGATCAGGTATGTGTTGAAAAGGACACCGTTTTTTATGTTAATATTTTTCCTGACTGAAAACCTAAACGACCATTACAACCAATTAAAGGCTGTGGCTAAAATTTCCATTTAAGCTATGTATGCAGGCAGCCATATGAATGCAGCACTTCTCATAGGAGATGCCAACTCTAATATATGCAGCAGTTATAAAATTGTCTCTAGAAATTTGTGTCTATAGTTGTTTGTAAAGTGTGTTTTACTTGGTCTCTGCCAACCACAGTTTCTTCTTTGCAAAAAAGGATGTTTCTTAAAATGTTTGGGAAAATAATAATGCAACTAGCTGTACCTAACAATTTATGGAAATGCTTTGAAGTGTTTGTCCAGGTTTTAAAAATCTGAAATTGCTCTACAGGAATTCATTTACCGTATAAGAAACTGGTTGGAGAAAAAGGTTGGAGCATGGGAACTTTTTAAAATCAGTTTTCAAATTCTTTTTTTTTTTCTGTCAAATGCAGCAAAACTAAGAACTTCCATCACTTTCTGACATCAACCAACAGTATAATTGAATGCACCATGGTGACTACAAAACCTTCAAAAGTTAAAACTTATGACTTGATGCACAAATTATTTTCTACTAAATTATAAGGCTCCAACTCCATCCAATGACAGTTATATAAAATTTTACTTTGGGAGACAAGGAAGGCACAAAATGTCTAGGCAGGGTGGCAAAGCTGCAGCTAACTTTCTCATGGAAATGGAATCAACAAAACATAAAGTAAGTAAAATACATTTTAAAACTTTTATTGTGTCATTTTCTCCTCCAAGAAACTAAAACAACATTCAGGTATAGGCTTATTGATAAAAAATATATTTCACAAAATAAATAAATTCCCAAGACAAATTCAGAAAACAACTTAGAATACTATAAAAGACTGATTTAAAAAAAATGGAAGTCATTTATTACATTCACACAGGTCACACAAGTTGTTCTATTTAGAAATCTGGATATGTTCATCTTGTTATAATGGAAGATTGTTTTATGACATTTATATTATAAAAAAATATATATTTTAGTCTGTTATATGACTTTGGTAAATGAATATATAAGTAAGATAAGATAATTTTGGACATAAAAGTAGGGGAGCTTCTGCAGCAGGGGGCAGTTGCCCCCCCAACCCTGCACCCATGTAGATCCACCCCTGCCTCTGTCTAGGAAATAGAAAAACAGACGTTTTTTTGCTTGAATACTTATGATAATTTTTTTTTTTTTTTTTTTTTTACTTTTCTAGAAATGGAAAACCCAAAAAATCTGTATTGTCGAGAAAAGCCAGATTGATGCATCTCTAATCATTATTGCGTGGATAATTGTACTAAAAGAGCTAAAATCTCTTCTTAATTCGACCGTAGACTCGGTTCAATCTAACTGTAGTTTAGAATTAGATTTTGAAATTAGCTGTAAAGCAGGGAGTGTCATGTTGTCCACATCCTCTTCACTTTCTGGCATTTGCTTGTCAGAGGCCTGAAAATAGAAGAAGAGACAAATGCACACAAACTCGACCCCCTGCCCCGAGAGTGTGTCCCTTTCCAGGGAAATCTTACTTGGTGTCTATATTTAGGGCGTGCAGTCGGCCAAGCACCTGAAACTGAACACTTTTGGAAAGTGGTGGGGAGTTGAAACAGCTGAACTATCAGGGCTGCAGCTTGTTCAAAGGTTAACTGGGGAGGGGGCTGATGGAAAAGGGGTCTTGTTGGACCTACAGCCTTGCACCACCTCTACTTAGGACCTCCCTTAGGAACTTACGGGTGTTCAACATCAATAAAATCATAGTCTGTTTATAGGAAAGCTGAATTTGTCTCAAACTTAACATTATTAGAAGCAGCAGTTTCCTGTTGTTTCCCTCTTGCTGTCATTTTGAGTCTGCCTCCTTTCAGTGTCCGAATGTCTCATAAATCAACACAAGCAGCCTGCTCACTTTTTTTTTGTTGCTTTATTGCTTTGTTCTTCACTGGAGAAAAACTCACTTTCATTTCAAGGGCTTGCTTTAGTAAGTTGACAACATAATACAGTGCATGTTTGTTGCCAGAATCTTGGCTTATCTGATTTAAGATTGAAAATGTTTGAGAAGGTATAAAGACACACCTTCAAAGTGTTCCGCCAAAGGCCTTAGGAGAGAAACGTGTTTCTTTTAAAATGATTTTCCCAGGTAATATTGACATGACTGTTATTAAGATCCAGCACTTGTACAGCAGTAAGGCAGGCGGGACACTCTCTCTGCTCCAAGGCATAAGCATAAATAGTCTCATATTTCTGCTTTAAGCCGGTTCCTGTGCCGCAGCACCATACATTTTTTTGTTAAATCTTTTCATAACCTGGCGTTTCTTGTCTTGGGGATGACTTTCTGTTTTCGGTACGAACAGCGTGCATTACAGTTTTCATCCAACTGCGCAACTGGATATAGGAGCCAAAAAAGCTGCACCGACAAACTACTAAAATATAACTGCAAACTTTAGAATGGAGGTTTTAACCTAATGTGTAAACAAAGGACTTAAAGGCAACTAACTTATAAGATTGTTTAAAGGGAGGAGGGGAAACATGTAACTGAATTCACAGATTAATCAGAGGCTGCCTGTGTTTAAAATAAATAAATAAACCAGATCTGACTAGAAGAACAAAGACTTAACAGAAATTAGCAAAAAAATAAAATGTTTCAGAAATTGTTTAAAAAAAAACAACCCTTATAATTCCTATGGTTTTTGCACGTGTCCACAGATGTTTGTTTAAAAAACGGGACAGATGGACCCAGCATTCAGACGAGTCATACAGTGGGAAGTTTCTAAACATTTGACGACAAAATAAACAAACAGAACAGAAACAGAACGCGGGCTGCTGTGGATCAGAGGACCTGCAACCACTGCATGGGAGGGTGGAGCCATTACTGGCACTCTAGATGTGGGAGGAACGAAGGT